GGATGAATATCCAGCTCTGTAGGTGGAAGGTCCATCATCATCTTTCCAATACCCCCACACTCATTCTATCTCTGTTACTGTACTCACTTCCCACCATGGCTCATTCTCTATATCTTTCCCTCACCCAACCTAGCCCTCAGCACCATGAACCCTGCATGCCCTCTGCACTGCCTACTTACTTGTTCATGACACCTCCTCATCTGCATGAACAGAAATAGCTGTGCCACCGTAATTTTACCTTCCATAGTATCTACCTCTCTCTGTCTCATTCTAGGAGGAAAATAGTCCACAATGGGACAGAAAGAGTCAGGATTGTATTGCCTGTCATTTGGCTCCTCAGCCCTTATGCACAGGGTTTGACCTGATATCAGAGGCTGCCCTGGACTCTCAGTGCTGGGAAAGGCTATCTCCTTTGAAACCAGCTGGCAACGATGACAATTCTTACACAAAATGGCAAGGCACTGGCTGAGGAGGCAAAGCACGGAGAGGGTGTTGCGAATATCCAGGTAGGCTCAGAGTGAGCGAGTGCTACAATAGCAAGTAAACAGCCCAGAGATGCAGCCTGGTCCAGTCCCTGAGCTGGTTCGTGTCCCTGAGCACAGAGTCCATGCTGCAACATTACAATAATCATTGCCAGTGCAACCCGAGTGCAGCACTGAAGTGCAGAAGTGTCCTCCAAGTGAATCAGAGATGTGCCATGAGGGTTCTCAGAGGCTAGCACTGATCGGTCTCTGTACCAATGTATGTGCATATGGAGACTTAATTTAAATTATTATCTTTACTTTCAAACCCCTCCTTGGACTCCCTCCTTGATATCGCTGCAATCTTCTGCAGCTGCACAACCCTGAGTTCACTTAATTCTGGCCTCTTCAGTGTCCCTAATTTTTATCACTCCATATTCAGGTGTTGCTGCCTACAACTCCACTGCTACTCACACCCACACCGAGCTCTGGGATACTTTTCAATTTGTGTATCTTGCTTTCCTCCTTTAAGATACTACCTAAAATCCACTTCATTGACTAAGCTGACTGAATCACCTGACCTAGTATCTCCTTGAGTCTGGCACTAAAGTGCTGCACACATGTTTAACTACTGGAATGTGTGTTATATGACAAGCTTTTGAAATTTCAATAACAATTCGCGTGGACACTAGAAATTTGTAAGGAAAGAAAAACTATTAATTCTCAGATATCTGGAACAGCAAACTGACGGTGAATTTCCTTGTTTATGCTCTTTCCAACAGACCACTGCTAAATGCACTCTTGACAGAGCTTTTAATCCCCATTGGAATTATATATAAACCTCCCCGTGGTATTTCAGGCCCATGCTTTTGCAACTTTCTCAGGCATTCTAGTAATTAGGCCACAAAACATGAGGTATAGTGTAGTCCATTAAAGCGACTGCTGAACTGGAAGATGTTAAATTAATATAAATACAGCTAAGAACGTATCCTCGCAATTTTGAAACAAAATTACTGTGGAATTTGAGGTGATCACTCTGATGATCATCGGAGATAGCAAGAACTGCAGATGCTGGAGTCAGAGACAATGCAGTTGTACATGGAGGAACGCAGCAGGTCAGGCAGCATCAGAGGAGCAGGAAAGTTGACATTTTGGGGCAGGACCCTTCTTCAGAAATGGGGAGGGGGAAGGGAGCTGGGAAATAGAGACAGGAGGGATGGGCTGGGGCAAGGTAGGTGGGATGGTGATGGTTGAATGCAGGTAGGGAGTAGTGGGGATTGGTCAGTGGGATGGGTGGGGCAGATAGATGGGAGAGAAGATGGACAGGTTGTGTCAGGTCAAGGAGGTGGGAAGGAGGATAGGTGGGGCTGGGGAAAAGTAAGTGAGGTGGTGATAGCTTGGATACAGATAGGCGGTAGTGGGGTTTGGTCAGCAGGAAGGGTAGGGCGGATAGGTGGGGATGAAGATGGACAGGTTGTGTCAGGTCAAGGAGGTGGGGATCAGAGGGAGGGTTGGCCAGGGGTGGGGAGATTTTAAAACTGGTGAATTCCATGTTTAGGCCATTGGGTTGTAGGCCCTCGAGGCAGAATAGGAGGTGTTGTTCCTCCAGTTTGCAGGTGGTGTCACTGTGACACTGGAGGAGGCCCAGGATGGACATGTCACCCAGGGAGTGGGAGGGGGAGTTAAAATGGTTGGCGACTGGAAGGTGTTGTTTATCACGTTCAGAGCGCAGATGCCCCACGAAACGGTCTCCGAGTCTACACTTGGTCTCACCGATGAGGGGGGCAGTTGCGGTCCTTGAAATAGGAGGACATCTGGGATGTCCGGGAGTGAAACGTTCCATCTTACAGCGGAGGTGGAGGAATTGGGAGTAAGGGATCGCATTCCATCCCTGTACACCTGTATTTTCCATGCAGATGGCCCAAAAGCCCTCTACTTCTTGCTTTCCCACAAAACCCCTTCTCCTACCTCCAACAACCTCATCCTTCTGGACACCACACCCCACCCTCTTAACTTCCCTCAACCTCTTCATCTCCAATTGCCATCATGACATCAATCGCCTCACTCACTCCAACCTCTCCCCCACAGAACGTGCAGCCCTCCATTCCCTCTGCTCCAACCCTAACCTCACCATCAAACCCATGGATAAAAGGGGCGCAGTATGGGTATGGCGCACTGACCTTTACATCACCAAGGCCAGGCACCAACTCTCCAACACCTCCTCCTACCGTCCCCTCGATCATGACCCCACCCCTGACCACCAAACCATTGTCTCTCAGACCATTCATAACCTCATCACCTCAGGTGACCTCCCACCCACAGCCTCCAACTTCATCATTCCCCAACTCCGCACCGCCCGTTTCTATCTCCATCCCAAAATACACAAACCCGACTGCCCCGGCCGACCGATTGTCTCTGCCTGCTCCTGCCCCACTGAACTCATCTCCACTTACCTTGACTCTGTTTTCTCCCCTTGGTCCAGCAACTCCCCACCTATGTCCGGGACACCACCCACGTCCTCCACCTCCTTCAAGACTTCCAATTCCCTGGCCCCCAACATATTATCTTCACTATGGGCATCCAATCCCTGTCCACTTGTATCCCCCACGTGGATGGCCTAAAAGCCCTCTGCTTCTTCCTCTCCTGCAGGCCCAATCAGTCGCCCCTCTACCGACACCCTCATCCACTTAATCGAACTCGTCTTTACCCTTAACAAGTTCTCCTTTAATTCCTCCCAGTTCCTACAGACTAAGGGGGTGGCCATGGGCATCTGCATGGGCCCAAGCTATGCCTGCCCCTTTGTAGGATACATGGAATAGTCCCTTTTCCACTGTTACATTGGCACTAACCCTCACCTCTTCCACCACTACATCGCTGACTGTATTGGCACTGCCTCGTGCTCCCACGAGGAACTTGAACAGTTCATCAACTTTACTAACACCTTTTACCCCAAACCTCAAATTCATCTGGACCATCTCCGATACCTCACTCCCCTTCCTGGACATCTCTGTCACCATCTCCGGTAACCGCATCAACACTCTCTTCTATTTCAAGCCCACCGATTCCCATAGCTACTTGGACTAGACCTCCTCTCACCCAACTTCATGCAAGAATGCGATCTCCTTCTCCCAATTCCTCCGCCTCCGCCGCATCTGCTCCCAAGATGGGGCATTCCACTCACGGACATCCCAGATGTCCTCCTATTTCAAGGACCGTAACATTCCCCCCTCTGGTGATTGAAAATGCCCTCAACTGCATCTCTTGCGTTTCCTGCACTTCTGCCCTCACACCCCCTCCCCCCAACAAAACAAGGACAGAATCCCCCTGGTCCTCACCAACCTCCGCATTCAGCGTGTCATCCTCCGCAACTTCCGCCACCTACAATCCGACCCCACAACCAAAGAGATATTTCCCTCCCCACCCCTGTCTGCCTTTCATAGGGACCACTATCTCCGCGATTCCCTCATCCACTCCACACTCCCCACTAACCCTATCACACCCGGCACCTTTCCCCACAACTGCAGGAAGTGCTACAGCTGCCCCTACACCTCCCCCCTCACCTCCATCTAAGGCCCAAAAACAAACCCTTCATATCCTCCAACCTGGTCTACTGTATCCATTGCTCCCGATGTGGCCTCCTCTACATCGGTGAGACCAAGCGAAGACTCGGAAACCATTTCGTGGAGCATCTGCACTCTGTATGCGACTAACGATAACACCTTCCAGTCGCCAATCATTTTAACTCCCCCTCCCATTCCCTGGGTGACATATCCATCCTGGGCCTCCTCCAGTGTCACAATGACACCACCCACAAACTGGATCAGCAACACCTCATATTCCACCACAGGAGCCTACAGCCCAATGGCCTAAAAATGGAATTCACCAGTTTTAAAATCTCTCCACCCCCAGCCTCATCCCACATTCAACCCTCCTTCTCATGCCCGCCTCCTTGACCTGACGCAACCTGTCCATCTTCATCCCCACCTATCCACCCTACCCTTCCCACTGACCAATCCTCACTATTCCCTACCTGCATTCAACTATCACCATCCCACCTATCTTTCCCCAGCCCCACCCCTCCTCCCTCTATTTAATTCCTAGCTCCCTTCCCCGTCCCTATTTCTGAAGAAGGGTCCCGAACTGAAATGTCAACTTTCCTGCTCCTCTGATGCTGCCTGACCTCCTGTGTTCCTCCAGCTCCAACTGCGTCGACTTTGATGATCATGGTAATCTTGCGTGTGTTTAATTTGAAAAATAAGACTGTATTAAACATACAACTTCATGTTCCTGTTCACTTTGTCATGTCTGGTGAGACAGGTATCAGTCAACTGCATTTTGTTCAGGATATTTCTTCAAAGTTTCTTTGAGCTAGTTTAATGTCAGGCAACTTGAAGCAGACTAAATATGGCACGAAGTATTAAACCCGAGTTATAAAAAGTAATTTTTCCTTATGGTTGGGATATGCTTGTCCAACCTTAACAAGAACTCCAATTCATAACATGCGTTAATTAAGCGTACACAGTAAATAGATTTACTTACCAAAATCATGCAGTTTGACCCCCCTGGGTACCATCTGGAGCAGAATAATGGCTGTTTCTTTTACGAGTGGGAAAGCAGATGACAGAACAATAATAACCACGACGATTGTCATACTCGGATCTACATAGCATTTCCAGTTACAGAATTCATCTTCATTAAGTGGAAGCACATAGAATATAGTAGCAGCAACGACCACCACCACAGATCCCAATGCATCACCCATTACATGTAGAAAAACACCTAGGAGAAAGGTATTTATGAGAGATTTCATTATTATAATATACAAGAAAATCAGTTTATAACGGTGAACGGTGATAATCTAAACTGGGTCCGTTCATTTATATGTAATGTAATTCTGATCTGGCATGGTTTCACCCTAATGCTGCACGTATAAAAACGTAACAGATTAGGAAAGACTATCTGAACTCACTGAAGCATGTCCCTCTGGTACACTGCCAGTCTACCATCCAATCCCATTTTTAACTCATATGAAGAATGGAATTTTAACATGGGTGAGTATGTGGTTTTGGGTTCGGGTACGATGGCAAGGGGAGCCAGATATTTCAGCCAAAACAAGAACCAATCTTAAATGCCTGGTCCAACCATTTGACTTCCACATATTATTGCAGTTCTGGGCATGCAGGTTCCCTCAGGGGAGATGGGATGTTAATTTCATTATGTTAACTTCTCACCTGCAGCAATACTTATGTGGATACTGGACTTTAACTCAGGTTCCTGGGCTTTTTGGAAATTGCCAGTGAAAGCAAAGTAAGAAGACAGCAGTATTTGAAGGGGCTGAACCCATGGCAAGAAAAAATGCTAATACATACTTAACACTCAGGGCTTTTCTATTGCTTGGAGGGAAGAGGTTTGTACACAGTATTTATGCTGAGAGAGTACTTTGCAGATGCCATTTACACTGGAAGTCTGATCTGCACTGTGGAACTCCAATCGATCATTTTAGCAAGGAATCTCCTGAAGCCACGTTGTATTAGAATGTAAATGAGGACCAAGATGAGCACCAGCAGAAGTATCATGAGCAGCAGGAGCTGCACCAGAAACAGACTTGCTGCCCCACAATACAGGGTGGATCAGTAGACAGGTGCAGCTTTCTGGAGACCAGACTATTTACATAGAGACTGCAGGGAGAGAATAAGCTTCCTTTCCATGTTAAAATACTGCCATTGTCTTTGAGGAGGTCAAGGGTATCCTGTCAGGTGATGATAAACTTTTTGTAACCTGCTGGAGTAAACTGTGTTGTTCAGTGGATGAGGGGGCCACCCACTGGCTGTCAAAATCAACACATCCCTCCTCCTTTGTTTGCCTTTAGATCCTTCCAGGATTCAACTAGAGAGGTATGTGGGATCTCACAGTCAGCAGAGTGCAATTGCACAAGACAGCCAACTACAGGCTTGTTTGCCAGGGTTGGCAATTATGTCAACTTCACCTATGATGACACTATCTCTGTGTGAGCTCTGAGTGGCTTCCCACATGTGCAAGGTATTAGCATGTCCACAATTAGCGATGTGAGCACCCATATATTGTCAGGAGTGTTCATCAAATACAACTGGTGTGCAACCACAAAAGGATCTTAATTCAGGAGGGTGTTGGATTTCCAGGCAGCTGCTGTGATAATCCTGATCTGCAGCAACATCCCTGGCAGCAAAGCAACTGCTGGCTAATTGGAGTCAAAGGATACTCATTTTAACTGTGGTTGGAGGCACCTTATAGAAAATCTAGTTAAGTTACATGGCCAAATGGCCATCATTGCACCCCTTCCTACATGTTATCCATGACAGTGACATCCTGCACCTATTGCTCACTTCCTGCAATCTTCAACTGTATCCTCTTGATGTTCGCAGTCAGCATTTCCCAATCACTTGGGAATAATATTTCCCTCCAGGTTCTCGCAGCTCCCAGTGGCACATCCAGAGAGGTATCACTGAATCAAGGCCATTGTCAGTCATCAGATTTGGTATGGATTCCAATCTCCCACTTTCTTCCCATTAGTTCCCAATTCCTTCAAGTTGTACGTTTGAGTGTCCCTTCAACATTTAGAGGTGATACCAAATCATGCAGGCAATCACCTTGCCTGTTGAATCTAATTGATTGGGAAACCCAGAAATTATTGAGCATTGCATTGGCTGTGTTAACTTCATTGCCAGATGCACTGCAATTCTTGAGTCTCCCATGGGCTACTCAACGATTCACTCCATTCCTGCAAAGTCATCCTTGCAATCCAGCATGCCCTGAACTTCAAATCTATCCAATATTACACTTACTGGATTATTCATCTTTTAAAAGAAGTTCCTAAAACATAAGTTCATGATTTCATGAAATCACTGTTTAAGTTCATGATCTCTGATCCTATTGCCCTGAAATAATATTATGGACCTACTTTACAATGGCATTAAATATGTTATATACCTCATTGAGAAGTTTACTTAAACAACTTCTCCCTGGACAATACAGCTCAAAAATGTTCAGCATCCTCTTGCTCTTTTATATCTGAGATTATCATTACTTTTCTCATTTCCATGTTCTGTTCCAAACATACACAACTCTTTTAAAATTAGCATCACTAATGCAATAAAGCCTCATGAAATGGAAATATTGCAATGGGAGACGTTATTCTATGGTTGTAAATTTTAAAATGAAAAAAAAATTTGTATTTATTTAATTCCTTCATAAGCTGAAGAAATCAAAAACTGCTTTATAGCCAACCAAGTAATTTTGATGTGTAGTCATTGCAGTTAATTTGCACACCGGAAATCCCGGTTACATCCCTTTGGAAAAACCAAATAACCAAAGCTACAAAGGACCGTCAAATGACTGACAAGACCTACTTTCAATTTTTGCAACTTTTGCATGAAACAGAACAAAGCAAATTAAACATGAATCAACAGAAAAATCATGCATCAATTAAAATAATTTTGAATAATGGATAAAATAAAGTTATAACTTACCCAGCTATAATGATCTGTCTCACTCCCCCCACAACTCTGGACATCACTGGCTAGGCCAGCATTTATTGCTCATCCCTATTTGTGCACGAGGCTAGTTAAGAGTCAACCACATTGCTGTGGGTCTGGAGTGATATATATGCCAGACCAGGTAAGGACAGCAGTTTTCTTCCCTAAAGGACATTAGTGAACCAGAGAGGACTTTCCCTGACAATCATCATGGTCATCACTAGGCACTTAATTCCAGATTTTTTGGTTTTATTGAATTCAAATCCCACCATCTGCCATGGCACAATTCAAACCCGTGTTCTCAGAACATTATGTGGGTCTCTGAATTAATAGTCTAGTGATAACACCATGAGGCCATTGCTTGCCCTATTTGCTATTCTTGGATCAAGCAGAGTATGCTAGGAGTCCTATCCACCAACAGATTTCACTTTTGCAGTTCATAATTGTCATTAGCATAGCACATTTCTGTTAACTTTTTCTCTTTCCGGTCATAACAGCCTTGATGATATAACTTTCCAGAATTTATTTTCAACCAATACACCAATAACATATTAGTTACGGTTTGCCCACTTCTGGTAAAACACATAACTCCAACCTACTTAAACAACTGTCCAGATTCTTGTCCTTTTTTAACCAGCTCACAGAGTGTCTCCAATAGCATCCATCTCCCTGTTTACCATTCAGAAAAACTGACCTCTTCCTGAGAGACATTTGCTTTTTCTTCTTACAATAATTCAATGTGTTCCTCTTTTTGTCTGCTTTCACTTTGTTTCTGAATTGGTGTAGCAGTCACCTTCTACCTTCAGTTCACCTTCTTCTTTACAGCAGTAGCTTCTTTGTTTATCTTCTCTGTGATTGGCCACATGGCCTTTGCATCTTCACTTCCTTCCTGCTGGCACTGCTGCCAGATCAAGCATTGCTAGGGCACATGTTATGAACAACACCTGACCTCCTCAAGATATTGTAAGAAGGTAGCCTAGACCCTAATTTTTTACTTTAGAGGTAAATGTGAAGTGTGTGTTCCAGATGTCATGCGACTGGTCAAACTATTCGATGTTAAGCAAAACGCAATTCATTTAAACACTATTGTTAAAATACAAACAAAAGAAAGAGGAATATAGAATAACTTTATTGGAAAACTTAACCGAATAATTGATACAGTACCTATTATTAATTAACTGTTCCAATATAGTAACATCCCATAAACATACCCCTTGGTAAAAAGGTAAATTCAGACATACGTTCTTACAAGCAGTTCATCAATACGGGAGGAAACAACATCAAGAGAGATTTCAGAGAAAGTAGCAGCTAGGAATCATTTTCTGAAGCTCCAACCCTTCTGGGACCCAAACAGCTTCTGACTGCTACAGCTAAAAGACTAGAGAGCCTGATCTGTGAGAAATGGCCACTCCCCTTCCATTGTTACAACTGTTTTAAAAAAAACCTGAAGGCCTCATAAGTTATTGACTTAAGCCATCTCCAGGAACTACTTCGGTTCCTCTGCCTTTACAACCTCTCTTCAAAAACAGGACAAAATAACCCTTTTATAGTGACAGTATCGTCACACACATAGACAAGTACTTCTTATGATTCAAGAAACCTCAAACCATCCCTTTAAGCTTCATGCCAACTTCTGAGTCTTTTTCAAACATTCTTAAAACTAATTAGCAATTCCTTAGATAACTTTAAGAAAAAGTTTTCCTTACTGTACTGCTTCCAGAACATTGTTTCACAAAGGACCATGAGATTAATTAGTAAGTAATTTGTTTCAGTGATGTTAGTTAAGGGATAAATAGTAGCCCAAAAACACGGAAAACGCCCCTGTTGTTATTATGTAGTACTGAAGGAATTTTAGACCTACCTACGTAGGACAGGTGAGGACATCAATGAATAATGGACTACACCTAACAGTGCAACACACCCTCTTTACTGAAGTGCCAATTTAGTTATTGCATTTAATAAAATGTGTTTATGAGAATGTGAGCATTGCTGGATAGCAGTCAGCACTTATTGTCCATTCCTAATTGTCCAAACTGTAGATGACAGTCATTCAACTGTGTATTTAGGCCAGAACAGGAAACAGTGACAACTTTCTTTCCTTAACGAATATTAGTGAAATGGATAAGTTTTGATGACAATGAACAGTGGTTGCACAGTTGCTATTAAGTTAGTTTTCAATTCCAGATCTGTTTGAATTTAAACATCACCATCTCCTAGAGTGGGATCTGAAAGCACATTCTCCAGATCATTAGACTGATGCTCTGCATT